AAAACAACATGTATTCAGCCCTCTTTAAAGTGGTAGTAAAGCCACTTTGTTAATTTTTTTCCTACAGGTAAGCTTGTATCCTATTACCTACAGATAATCTTATAAAATGAACATCTCCAACAAGTAAATCCTTTAGGAGATTTTTTTTTTTTTTTTAGAGCCAGGGCATGTGCTCTGAAGCAACAGCATACCCATGCAGTTCTTTCAGAGCACTGTGCTGTGTCCCAAGACTAATGTCATCACGGCTCAGCCAGTCAGATGGCTGGAGGAAGATCGGGTGAAGATCTACAGCGGTGACAGCGCACCACTGGAGAGCTTCCTTTTAAGGTAAGCTTTACATAATGTGCTAGTATGTGATGCACATTATGCCTTTACCTTGCAGGGGATTTTTTTTTTTCTTTTGGATGCGGTTTACTACCGCTTTAATTGATTTGCTCTGAGACCGTGCCCCCATGGTTGGTGTGTGGTAACAAACATTTCAAGTGAGCATTCATCACACTCTATGTGGGTTACAGCGAGTAATGTTGAAATGAAAAGTACAAAGTTGGACACTGAGTGTTTTTTCTTGAGCTTCTCTTAAGAAAGTTATTTGCAGTGGCAGTGACAAGGGAGCATTCTGCAGTCTTTGCAAATGAATTTTGAAAAGATTATTAAAAGACAGAGGTCTTCCCTATAGCTGCTAGCCTGTTGTAATATTGCTGAAGAGTTAGAATTTCTATCCAAAAATTGTGGGTTAAAAAGCCTTTTTAATTTTTCTTTTTTCTTTTTACTTATAGTATGTGTTATGATTTTACAATACTATGCAGCCTATATTTCTCCAAGTATTGTGCTAGATTTTCACTGAAGATATTTTGTAATTAGTTTTTTTCCGTGTCATGTGATTTAAAATTGAAATGTATATTTATACTGTATATAAAGTAATGAATTTTGTCTAGTAGAAATTTTGGATTATATCACAAATGTGGATTACTTTTTCACCAGGTTGTAAGTGAACTGCTACAATGCATCCATCTTGAACATTTTACCAGGATGGCATTTCTGATGCCAGCAAGTTATTCATGTGTATGAGCAGTAGTACAAGTCATTTTTCTCAATTACCTGTCTCAAGTCCAGGTTTCTTTAGAAATAACTGCAGTTATAAAAAAACTAATATTGTTCCAAGTACTACAGGCAGACTCCAGCTGAATGTCCATATGTTCCCATTCCTGGTCCAGGCCACTTCATGTGGCCCAGAGTCAGCTGATGTTACTTGGTTAAATTGTTATGATTTTTAAAAGCAGAGGCAATATGTTCAAGCAATCTGTTCTGCATATCCATCATATTTACCACCTTCTGTGCTATAATAGCTACATCAGTATGCAACTGTATAATTCGCTGCTTCAGAACTGTTTCTGTTAATATCTGTATGATTATAAGTATATTGCCCAGTTGTACAAATGATTGCCTTTTTGCAAATTAAATTTTTTACCATGCTTCATTGGAACTCCATTCCAGGGGTTCTCAACTTTGCAGGTATAGGACACCTAAACTGCAGCCCCTAAAATCAATTCTACAAATGAGCATTGATTTACTAAAGCTGGAGAGTGCAAAATCTGAGGCTAGTAGAGATCACTGATCAGGTAATAGTGCAAATCGGTGCTCCTACTTCCACTCCCGCTACAGACTTTTGGAGTTAAGGGCTGTGCAACAAGTACCAAGGGGGCCACATGTGACCCCTAGACCATGGGTTGGGCACCAGGACTCCAATCACTCTTTTGACCAGTTTGCCAGGGTACCCATAAAATGTGAAACTGTATGTCTCTCAGAAATAAATACCATTAAAACAAAGTGCAGTACTATAAAATAATGGTTGAAGGAGTATAACATTATAAGCTATTTATATTAACCATCATACATAATTTATCAGTGATTTCATAAACACTTTTTCCTTAGGCTTATGATAGTCACCCTTCATAGTCAAAGCCACTAGCAGGTATATTTGTTATTAAAATAATCAAAAGGTTCCCTGGTCAAAAGAATAAAAAACATAATTTTGTTTAGGGAAAAAAAAAAGTCTTCTTTAGGTCCTAGCCCCACTCAAAATACAAAGCGAAAATCATTGTTTATTACTGTATATGCAGACCTAAAAATGGTAATAATTTACATTAAATTCATATTTTGAGGGATTTTTTCTTATTTTTGTTGTATTGCAATGGAAAGCAAGAAATGTCATTATATTCCAAGTAGCAGTTAAATATTTAGGAGGAATGATGGATGGTGTTTGAATGGGATTTCCTGTGAAGGAGTGTGACTGACTGGGGTGATAGACAGCACTGGGGTGATAGACAGGAGTGAGTCACTTGTGTTAATCCCACTTTATTTATATATATATATGGGTGTGAAATTTCACTTTTTTAAAGAATGATTCAATCTGATAAAAAGTTAATCTCTTTATATTTGAGATTTACGTATTTTATGGTATCCTACACCCTTTTAAAGCTGAGCGTCAGTAAAATACATTTTTGGGCCACAACACCAGTCAAAAATAATTTATAGTATGGATGGGAGTAGATCCTGTCATTCATCCACCCATGTTGTTTTTTTTTGTGGATGTGCAGCTGGTTGGCCATAGCTGTGGTGCTGGGGCTGTCCTACAAGGTGGACTGTTCCCGAGAACTATTGGCTATAGGCATCAGCACCAGTTATGGCAACGGTCCCCTGTTTACTGCACGTGCACTGTTTTTTGCAGTATCACATGTTGCCAGGGCAACCACTGGGCAGGACTTCCATCCTTCTGGCTCTGTGGCCAACTTCAGGGCGCATGCACTGCGGGGGTATGCATGCATTGTAACTACTGGCCAGGCAAGGTGACGTCACATGCCGTTTTGGCGTGGGCTCTCTGGTGGGGTGTATATATATATATATATCTGGGGGAGGACTGCACAGGTGGACACACTTTAAGCTAAATTGGAAGACTGGACCACAGCCACCTCAGTTGCGAGGACTAGTTTATGGCAGCAGTAACAGGTGATTGTTGTCCTATATGGAGAGCTGTTTTTTATGGCATATCCGTTATTTGGAGGATATTAGCTGGTAGCTGTGGGGTGGCTTAGCTTACATTTATGAAGTTTTGGTTTTTATTTCACAGAATCTAAAGATAGATACACTGGCGTTGTTATTCATTTGGCCTTGTCGATTTTCACGGGTATGCATGCGAATGAAGGAAGATACTTTGAAGCTTACATCTTCCCTTTCTTGTATTCATTAGTTTACACAAGGTAATTACAACTTTACCTTAGCAATATAAGCATAGTACTACATGTACATAGCAATTAATTTTATTGCCTTATAGGTCCTATGTGAAGGACCATACAGCAGCCCAGAAGGCTCTAATGTTGAGCCGTAAGTACTCATAACCAACTGGGGGACCTCTGTAAGTACTGTTCAAGTACTCATATTAATGTACAGTGGAGATTTAAGAACTTTTTGAAAACATTGAGATATATGGGTTCAATGTGTTGTCTCCCCTCAGTTTGCTGTGCACCCCCGCATCCACCTTGGTGACCTCCTTGCTATGAGTTTATGAAATCATTTCCTGCCTTAGGAGTGTGTATACCTTCTTGTATGATTAATTTCTAATTTTAGTAAGTACTATTTGTATCACTCTCATACTGTATATCAAAAGGATTATTATATATACATTACTGTATGTATTTTTCTTATACATAGATTCTATATACTATCTCCTGAAGAAGCAATCTCAATCACAAAATGTGTAGAACTGAGCTAATTGTGGATGGTGGAACCCCCGTAGTTGGAGGACCGGATATCAAGTTTGGGTACCCATTACAACTTATTACAACTGGGTGCCTCTACTGTATTGTGTGAGCAGGGGTATCACACTACATTCCACGAATTGAATTTTTAATTATGGAATAATTGTCTTTTAATTCTGTGTCAATAAATGATATTGTATTAACATTGCAAATAGTCTTGCATACGTGCATACAAAGTCCATAACTTACAACCTACACTTTAAAATGGATGATTAATTCATTGATGAAGGTGGTAGATTTATTTTCTTGAAAAGTACTCTGTCCAGTAAACCAATTACTTTAGCCAATATATATAGCCCTAATACCGGACAGGTAACATTCTTTAGACAAGTATGCGCCCACCTACTCAATTTCACTAAAGGTTTTTTGATACTAGGAGATTTTAATATCCCCTTGCATTCTGCACTGGACACTTCTAATGGGGCCTCAGAGTTAAACTACAGGACTTGGAGAATTAAGTGTTTATTGGACATTCATCTCCATGATACTTGGAGAACGTTGTATCCCACAGTCAAAGAATACATTTTTTTTTTGCTCCTCTTCCTAACAAGTACAGTATTCCAGAATCTTAACCACTAGCCTACAGGGCACTTATACCCCCTTCCTGCCCAGGCCAGTTTTCAGCGCTATCGCACTTTGAATGACAATTGCGCGGTCATGCAACACTGTACCCATATGAAATTTTTTATCATTTTTTTGAGACAGAGCTTTATTTTGGTGGTATTTAAACACCTCTGGGTTTTTTTTACTTTTTTGTTAAACAATAAACAACTGAGAATTTTGCAAAAAACATGTTTTTTTTTTTCTTAGTTTTTGTTATAAAATTTAGTAAATAAGTGATTTTTCTCCTTCACTGATGTGCGCTAATGAGGCTGCAGTGATGGGCACTGATAGGCTGCACTGATGAGGAGGCACTAGTAGGTGGCACTGATGGGCATTGACAGGCATCACCGATGGGCACTGAGAGGCAGCGCTCTTATATGGCACTGACTGGCACTGATAGGCGGCACTGACTGGCATTGTTTCTTAAACAAACCAAAAACCACAAAAATTTTGTAAATACGTGATTTTTCTCCTTCACTGATGTGTGCTAATGAGGCTGCACTGATGGGCACTGATGAGGAGGCACTGGTCGGTGGCACTGATGAGCATTGACAGACATCACTGATGGGCACTGAAAGGCAGCACTGATATATGGCACTGTTACGCGGCACTGACTGGCACTGTTACGCAGCACTGACTGGCACTGTTAGGCGGCACTGACTGGCACTGTTAGGCAGCACTAATAGGTGGCACTGATTGGCATTGATAGGTGTCACTGACTGGCACTGATGGGTGGCACTGAAGGGCAGCTCAGATGGGCACTGATATGTGGTATTTATGTGCACTGGTAGGCACTGATATGTGGCATTGCTGTGGCACTGATGGGCACTGGCAGGTGGCACTGCTGGGGCTACACTGACCATCAGGGCACACTGATCATCAGTGCTCTGATGATCAGTGTACATGTCCCCTCCGCGGAATGCCGATTACCGCCTCTCCTCTCCACTCGAGCTGTCAGCGTGACAGCTTGAGAGGAGAGAAATGCTGATAACCGGCATTTCCCTGTTTACATGTGATCAGCTGTGATTGGACACAGCTGATCACATGACCGAGCCGACATCTTCGGCTCTTTCCATGGATCGATGATCTGCTGTGTCCGAGGGACACAGCGCACCGCTGATCGCCGCACTCCGGGAGCCGTGCATGCGTGGTTAGAATGGGAGGACGTCATATGACGTCCTCCCAGAACGAGAGAGACCACCTTGCGTCCATCATATTACTATATGGCGAGCAGGAGGTGGTTAATAGATAACAATCCTCTGTGACTAAAGATCTAAAATTAGATGCAAAGAATATTTATAGGATTCAACAGAATAATAGTAAAATAAAAAAATTAAACTATTTATTAATGAAACAATTTATGTCCCACTCATAATTGAAACCCAATGATGCATAACTCTTGAGTCGATATATCCAGCTAGTTTCAGCTTTGGAAATTGCCCTTTTTGCATTACTACCTCACCAATCTGGGATGTACTTCTCCAAGTCAATAAAGGTAGTGCCTTCAAGGTTATTATGTTTCAAAGCATAGTGCTTAGATACACTATGTTCCTTGAAGCCCTTCTTTATATTAGCGATATGTTCACCTAATGCCAGTGTTTCTCAACTCCAGTCCTCATGGACCCCCAACAGGTCATGTTTTCAGGATTTCCATTATTTTGCACAGGTGATTTGATCAGTTTCACTGCCTTAGTAATTACCACAGCTGTTTCATCTGAGGGAAATCCTGAAAACATGACCTGTTGGGGCTCCATGAGGACTGGAGTTATGAAACACTGGCCTAAGCGAACATGGAGGGCATGTGTTGTATGCCCTACATATTCTAAACCGCATGGGCACTTCTACATGTCTAGTTGCACATGATATGAATGACCATATATCATATGTTATACCAGTTTGTGTTGCAGTAAATTTGGTAATTTTCCTACCTTTAAAGAAATTTCCTGCACTTCCTGCAAAGATGGTAACCCTCCATGTTGGCAAAAAACATTAGCCTAATGGGTGGGTCTGGTACATTTGGTATATCTATGTGATCCTCCCATACTACTGAACCCCAAAACATATTGCAAGAAGCCACTAACACCTTACCATATACTACATGGGGAAATGTACAAATTTAAGGCTAACTGGTGCTGCGCCAGCACCAATTAGCCTTAAACTGGTACATTTTGGTGCTAATTTGTTCCTGAGGTTCCCTGCACCCCTAAAGATGACAGTAGGACGTTTGGGTAAGATGGGACCCAAAATACGGTCATTCTTCAGAATAGACCAATGTTTCCGGATGATATTTTTAACAACAAAATGTTGACTTGAGAAAGTGGTAAAGAATGCCAGACTGAAGCGGTCAGAACTACCCTGAACAGATTATTTTTCTTTAATAAGATCGTCACGATTGTAATGACTCACCTCCCACATCATCAATTTATCCAAATGCTCAGCTTTGTATCCTTTATCTAGAAACCTTGATTTCAATATCAGGGCTTCTTTTTTTATATTCCTGTCTTAAAAGGTACAAAACATGAGGACGTGCATGCACACGAAACTTGTTGGGTGGAGCTTACGTGCTGATGTCACGCCGCCGCACCTGTGACCAAGAGCAGCGGCCATCTTGGTATTTCTGTTTACACATGTTTGTCAAGTCTTCCACATGGATTGTTTTTTTATCTATTTTAAATAAAGTACTACACTATATATCGATCTCTGGACTCCTGTGGTGAGCTTTATTCCTTAGGAGAAGTCCTTTTGGTCAAAGATTCTGAGTCTCCATTTGAGGGATCAATATCATTGCTACTATACCAGTAGCTTTCTGGTGAGTGCATAGTGGTGGTGGACTGTTTTACTGGATTTCACAGCACCTTCTTGGAATTGAACATGATACTGCCGTGTCTTGTAGTGCCACGGACACATTACTTGTTTACCCACATTGACTTTTTTGTCACTTTTTTTGGATGGATTTATATTTGCTCATCACACCACTTAGTTATATATTGACTATGTTTGCATATATGTTTGAGAAATGTGCATTATCCAATTTTCACTGGTGATATGTTTTACGTTAAATTATTCAATATTCAGTGCTGAACTTTATATGTATAGGCCAAGTATAGTGTTCTGGAGTATACAGGAGTTTGATGGGGCTGGACCCCCCTAACATCCTGACTGATTCGCCTGTTGGGAGGTTGGATGATTATAAGTAGAGATGAGCGAATCGAACTTGGCGAAGTGGAATTCGTTTCGAATATTAGGAAAATTTTGATTCGCGACGAATCCGAAAATTAGCAGACTTCGGATGCGCGAATCAAAATTTTTCCAAAAATGGCGGCGACATGTGCGGCGACGGAGCGGGGATCTCTGGGAAGGCGCGCAGACAAGGCGCGCTGACCCATAATGCATTCATTCATGACATATGATCGCATTAGCCAATCAGCAGCCAGCCAGCACTGTGTAATGGTCGAGCTATAAATTGCGGCCATTTTAGAATTCTCCATTTGCCTCCAGTCATTCAAGAGAGGCAGACCTGGCTGTATTCAGGGAGAGAGTTAGGGACACAGAAACGTTACTTAGGGCCAGAGAAACGTTACTTGGGGACACAGAAACGTTACTTAGGGACACAGAAACGTTACTTAGGGCCACAGAAACGTTACTTAGGGCCACAGAATCGTTACTTAGGGCCACAGAAACGTTACTTAGGGCCACAGAAACGTTACTTAGGGCCACAGAATCGTTACTTAGGGCCACAGAAACGTTACTTAGGGCCACAGAAACGTTACTTAGGGCCACAGAATCGTTACTTAGGGCCACAGAAACGTTACTTAGGGCCACAGAATCGTTACTTAGGGCCACAGAAACGTTACTTAGGGCCACAGAAACGTTACTTAGGGCCACAGAATCGGTACTTAGGGCCACAGAATCGTTACTTAGGGCCACAGAATCGTTACTTAGGGACACAGAACGTTACTTAGGGACACAGAAACGTTACTTAGGGACACAGAAACGTTACTTAGGGCCACAGAAACGTTACTTAGGGACAGACACAGAATTGTTACTTAGGGACACAGAATTGTTACTCAGGGACAGACACAGAATTGTTACTCAGGGACAGACACAGAATTGTTACTCAGGGACAGACACAGAATTGTTACTCAGGGACAGACACAGAATTGTTACTGAGGGACACAGAATTGTTACTGAGGGACACAGAATTGTTACTCAGGGACAGACACAGAATTGTTACTCAGGGACAGACACAGAATTGTTACTGAGGGACACAGAATTATTACTCAGGGACAGACACAGAATTGTTACTCAGGGACAGACACAGAATTGTTACTGAGGGACACAGAATTGTTACTGAGGGACACAGAATTGTTACTCAGGGACAGACACAGAATTGTTACTCAGGGACACAGAATTGTTACTCAGGGACACAGAATTGTTACTCAGGGACACAGAATTGTTACTCAGGGACACAGAATTGTTGAATTAAAGAGTATGTCAGACAACATGCACAGGAGTGGCAGAGGAGGCAATGTTTTAGGAGCGAGCAGACGTGGCAGCAGAGGAAGGGGTCGAGGTAGCACTAGTCGCAGCCAGAGGCCAGTGCTCCCGGTGTCATCCAGCGGTCGTGTCTCCACCGACAACCCTGCCGTCATCGATTGGTTGGCTCGGTCATCTTCCTCTTCCCAGGTCACCTCTGACACCTACAGCCAACGGTCGGTGGGTACGTCAGACACAACCGTTAGTTGGCATGGCCCGGGAGCAAGCCCACTGAAATCACGTGTCCTCTACCTGCCCCTGTCCTTTGGTGTTCCCTCACCAAGCGAAGTATCGCATGCTGTGGGCTCAGCCCCACTGTACAGTGAGGAAGAGCTAACAGAGGGCGGTCAGGAACGGGGGGAGACATCCGCCTCTTCAGCAGCCAGGCGAAGAAGTAGTGGCGAGGAGAGTGGCTCGGTAGCCGGTCTAGAGACAGGTCTGTCTCCTGACCCACACGCAGCCGAGGGGGCTAGTAGTGAGGCGGAGACCCTAATTGATGATGATGAGGCTGATCGCACTTGGCAGCCTCGTCGTCATCAGGCAATTTCTTCCGCATCATCAGGAGAAGAGGGTGGCAGCTTGGCAGCGAGCAAAACAGTCGGTGGGTTGCCCAGGAGGCAGCAGGGTCGCAGCAGTGTCAGTGGAGGCAAACGGCCACGGAGTAGAGCACCAGCTCCACTGCAGCCTACCACCACGGCCAGTAGTGGTGCCGGTGTGCACGGAGGAAGTAGCAGTCAGCCAGTGAGGAGTAGCGGGGGCAAAGTTTCCTACTCGGCGGTGTGGCAATTTTTCGTCAAGCCGCCCGAGGAAGTAAACGTAGCCGTATGTCGACTATGTGGCCAGAAAGTCAAGCGTGGCCAGGGGGCCCATGTTGGGACTACAGCGTTGCGTCAGCATATGCAGCGTCGCCATTTGGTGGCCTGGGAAAACCGTGATAAAGATACGGCGGTTCTGCCTGCCCCAGCCCCCGCTCCATCACCCGCTCCGTTACTTGCTCCTTCACCCGACGTCAATCGCCCTCTATCAGCCAGTCAAGGCTCCAACACCTCTGCTGAGGGGAGCTGTCGCTCGTTGGCATCTTCCGCTCGTTCAGATGCTCCTTCTCCTGCTACTCCTCTTCACGGATTCCGTCAGCAGTCTTTCTTGGAATCCGTTTCCAAGAGACAACAGTTTGCGAGCACGCACCCGACGGTGCAAAAGCTGAACTTCCTCCTGTCCAAGTTGCTGGTGCTGCAGTCCCTCCCTTTCCAAGTGGTGGACTCAGCACCTTTCCGAGAAATGATGGCTTGTGTCGCGCCGCGGTGGAGAGTGCCAAGCCGTCATTTCTTCGCCAAAAAGGCAGTGCCAGCCCTGCATTCACATGTAGAAGAGATGGTGGGCCAGTCTTTGAGCATGTCGGTCTCTGCCAAAGTGCACGGCAGCGCCGACGTGTGGAGCTGTAACTACGTTCAGGGACAGTACATGTCATTTACGGCCCACTGGGTGAACGTGGTGCCGGCACAGCCGCACCAGCAACTTGGACAGGTCACGCCGCTTTTGCCTCCACGTTTGCACGTCCTTGGTCCAGAAAAGATGTCCGCCTCTACCACCTCTTCTTCCGCCGTGTGTCCTCAGCCGCCACCCCCCCCGTGCCAAGTCCCATTACCCGACCGGCATATCACATGTGCAGGCGCAACGGTGTCACGCTGTGCTGCACCTGGTATGCCTTGGCGAACGTAGTCACACAGGGGAGGAACTTCTGAGTGTAATGAACAGAGAAATCGACAGATGGCTGTGCCCGCGCAAACTGAAAATCGGAACCATGTTGACCGACAACGGAAAGAACATGGTGTCTGCTCTGCGTCAAGGAAGATTGTGCCATGCGCCATGCATGGCTCACGTGTTCAATCTGGTTGTCAAGCGGTTCCTAAAATCCACCATCCCACTGCAAGACATCCTTAAAATGTCACGTAAACTTTGCATGCATTTCAGCCATTCCTACACCGCAAAGCACACCCTCCTTGAGCTGCAGCGGCAGAACGGAATTCCACAGCATCGCCTGATCTGCGACGTTGCAACAAGGTGGAATTCAACCCTACACATGTTAGACCGCCTTTACGAACAGTGAAAGGCCATCACCGATTTCCTGATGTTACAAGCGGATAAAGGTACTCCCTGTGTAACTTCGATGTCAGCCATTGGCAGCTCATGCGTGACACCTGCCGCTTGCTGAGGCCCTTTGAGGAGGCCACGCTATTCGTGAGTCGGCAGGACTATGGGATGAACGACGTCATTCCTCTGTTGCACGTCCTGGAACAAATGCTGTTAACAATGGCTGGTCAGGGTGCGGTAGACGTGGTGCACAGATCTCAACGCCACATGACCCCTGTGGGGGCAGGACAGGAAGAAGAGGAGGAGGTAGAGGAGGACATTTGTGCTCAGGAATTATTGAGTGAAATGGGTGGTTTTTCCACTCAGCGGACAGGAGTGGAGGAGCAGGAGCATCTGGTAGAGGAGGAGGAGACAGAGGACCCAGACGCACCGTGGCAGTATGCAGTGGAGATGGAGGCAGGGAGTCCCTCGCATTCCTTGGCACAAATGGCCCATAGCATGCTCGGTTGCTTGCGTAGCGACAGCCGAATAATAACCATCAGACAGAGGGATGACTTTTTGCTGTCCACCTTGTTGGACCCTCGCTACCGTTCAAAAATGGTGGCCTTTTTCACACCTGCTGAGAGGGAGGCCAAAATAACGTACTATAAAAACCACCTATGTAGTCAGTTGGTCTTTGCCTTTCTGCGCCAACGTCCATCATCAGACACTGTGGGCCCTGTGCGCTCGCGTTCCGCTGCCATGGCAGCAGGGGAGGGGTGGGGTGGTAGGAGCAGTGGCAGCTCCACCAGCAGCGGCTGCCTCAGTCTGCAGTCGATGATGAGTAGCTTTCTTCACCAGCGCAGTGAGGGAACTACTAACCAGCCGCAGCAGCAGCATCAGCATCAGATGGACCTGGAGCAGGACCTCAAACAACAGGCTTGGGCCTACTTGGACAGCACCCTGCCAACCGAGGTAGACAATCCACTTGACTACTGGGCAACGAAACTTGACCTTTGGCCCCAACTAGCTGAATTTGCCCTTGAAAGGCTGTCATGCCCGGCCAGTAGCGTGGCATCGGAGCGCGTGTTTAGTGCGGCAGGAGGTATTGTAACTCGACTGTGGACACGACTGTCCACCCAAAGTGTGGAGAGACTCACGTTTGTGAAAATGAATCAGGCGTGGATTAGTCTGGATTTCAAACCACCAGTTCCTGACACAACTGACTAAATCCGCCATGAATCATGCCCCAAACATGTGCCACTTTCAGGTCTCCTCACACTGCCGGTGTGTTCCATTTTTTGTCATAGGGTGCTGGCAGATTACGGGACTCCCATTGCTGCTGCCAGGCCCGTAATCTGCCATGGGCCCCTGTACCGCCTCCTCATGCTGCTGCCAGGTCCAGAGTGTGTCATGGGTCCCTGTACGGCCTCCCATTGCTGCTGTCTCCATCGCCACACTCTGCCATGTGCCACTTTCAGGTCTCCTCACACTGCTGGTGGGTTCCATTTTTGTCATAGGGTGCTGTATGGCCTCCCATTGCTGCTGCCTCCACCGCCACACTGTGGCTCCACACTCTGGTTTTGGCCCCGTGACTGCCCAAATGAGTGAAGTTTGCGGTGATTCTAAGATCGACGGCACTCATCTGCATGTCATACTGACTGACAGTATTATTTCTCTTCCCCAGCAGACTCCAAGGGCATTTAAATTAAAGGTACAGTGTTCTGCACTAATATGAAGGCTCTCTGAAGTCTAGAAACACCCTTTTATAAGTTAAATTCGCAGCGAATATATTCGCATCGAATCTAATTTATTCCTCGAATTCGCCGAATCAGCCGAAACAAATTTTTGAATACTTCGCTCATCTCTAATTATAAGCTTTTAGATGGTGGGAGAAAGTATCACTTTAAGGGGTCAGTTATCTTACTGGGTGATATAGAATTGTTGCTTATTTTATATTTTTATTTGTATTTTTTCCCTTTTCACCCAAATCCTTCTCAACCGCAGTCATATTATATTTGGTTGCTTTATATTAAGATTATTGTATTTGAAATTTTGAATTCATTGTAATTCTCCAAAAGACCAACCACTGCTGGATAAAGGGAGAAAATACTGCAATCATGAATGGAATTAAATTACGTATTACAACATTGCTAGCTATTGTGTCATTATGGACTAAATAAATAAAACATCAATAGAGTTAAAAACAATATGGCCATGATATTGTGGCTAGAGATGAGCGAATTATTCAAAAATTCGATTCGACTGATTCGGCGAATTCGTGAAAAAATTTCGATTCGAGTCGAATATATTCGCCGTGAATTTAACTTATAAAAGGGTGTTTCTAGGCTTCAGAAAGCCTTTATATTGGTGCAGAACACTGTACTTTTAATTTAAATGCCCTTGGAGTCTGCTGGGGAAGAGAAATAATACTGACAGTCAGTATGACATGCAGATGAGTGCCGTCGATCTTAGAATCACCGCACATTTCACTCATTTGGCCAGTCACGGGGCCAAAACCAGTGTTTGGAGCCACAGTGTGGCGGTGGAGGCAGCAGCAATGGGAGGCCATACAGCACCCTATGACAAAATGGAACCCACCAGCAGTGTGAGGAGACCTGAAAGTGGCACATGGCAGAGTGTGGCGATGGAGACAGCAGCAATGGGAGGCCATACAGGGACCCATGACACACTCTGGACCTGGCAGCAGCATGAGGAGGCGGTACAGGGGCCCATGACAGATTACGGGCCTGGCAGCAGCATGAGGAGTCGGTACGGGGGCCCATGGCAGATTATGGGCCTGGCAGCAGCAATGGGAGGCCCGTAATCTGCCAGCACCCTATGACAAAATGGAACCCACCAGCAGTGTGAGGAGACCTGAAAGTGGCACATGGCAGAGTGTGGCGATGGAGACAGCAGCAATGGGAGGCCATACAGGGACCCATGACACACTCTGGACCTGGCAGCAGCATGAGGAGGCGGTACAGGGGCCCATGACAGATTACGGGCCTGGCAGCAGCATGAGGAGTCGGTACGGGGGCCCATGGCAGATTACGGGCCTGGCAGCAGCAATGGGAGGCCCGTAATCTGCCAGCACCCTATGACAAAATGGAACCCACCAGCAGTGTGAGGAGACCTGAAAGTGGCACATGGCAGAGTGAGTGGCGATGGAGACAGCAGCAATGGGAGGCCGTACAGGGACCCATGACACACTCTGGACCTGGCAGCAGCATGAGGAGGCGGTACAGGGGCCCATGACAGATTACGGGCCTGGCAGCAGCATGAGGAGTCGGTACGGGGGCCCATGGCAGATTACGGGCCTGGCAGCAGCAATGGGAGGCCGTACAGGGACCCATGACACACTCTGGACCTGGCAGCAGCATGAGGAGGCGGTACAGGGGCCCATGACAGATTACGGGCCTGGCAGCAGCATGAGGAGTCGGTACGGGGGCCCATGACACACTCTGGACCTGGAAGCAGCATGAGGAGGCGGTACAGGGGCGCATGACAGATTACGAGCCTGGCAGCAGCAACTTGGACAGGCGGACGTTCAGCTTCTGCACCGTCGGGTGCGTGCTCGCAAATTGTTGTCTCTTGGAAACGGATTCCAAGAAAGACTGCTGACGGAATCCGTGAAGAGGAGTAGCAGGAGAAGGAGCATCTGAACGAGCGGAATATGCCAACAAGCGACAACAGGGGCCCATGACAGATTACGGGCCTGGCAGCAGCATGAGGAGTCGGTACGGGGGCCCATGGCAGATTACGGGCCTGGCAGCAGCAATGGGAGGCCCGTAATCTGCCAGCACCCTATGACAAAAAATGGAACACACCAGCAGTGTGTGAGGAGACCTGAAAGTGGCACATGGCAGAGTGTGGCGATGGAGACAGCAGCAATGGGAGGCCGTACAGGGACCCATGAGAGACTGTGGACCTGGCAGCAGCATGAGGAGGCGGTACTGGGGCCCATGGCAGATTAGGGGCCTGGCAGCAGCAATGGGAGGCCCGTAATCTGCCAGCACCCTATGACAAAAAATGGAACACACCAGCAGTGTGTGAGGGAGACCTGAAAGTGGCACATGGCAGAGTGTGGCGATGGAGACAGCAGCAATGGGAGGCCATACAGGGATCCATGAGAGACTCTGGACCTGGCAGCAGCATGAGGAGGCGGTACAGGGGCCCATGGCAGATTACGGGCCTGGCAGCAGCAATGGGAGGCCCGTAATCTGCCAGCACCCTATGACAAAAAATGGAACACAACAGCAGTGTGAGGAGACCTGAAAGTGGCACATGGCATGAGACACTGTGGACCTGGCAGCAGCATGAGGAGGCAGGACAGGGGCCCATGGCAGATTAGGGGCCTGGCAGCAGCAATGGGAGGCCCGTAATCTGCCAGCACCCTATGTCAAAAAATTCAACACACCAGCAGTGTGAGGAGACCTGAAAGTGGCACATGTTTGGGGCATGATTCATGGCGGATTTAGTCAGTTGTGTCAGGAACTGGTGGTTTGAAATCCAGACTAATCCACGCCTGATTCATTTTCACAAACGTGAGTCTCTCCACACTTTGGGTGGACAGTCGTGTCCTCCGCGGAGTTACAATACCTCCTGCCGCACTAAACACACGCTCCGATGCCACGCTACTGGCCGGGCATGACAGCCTTTCAAGGGCAAATTCAGCTAGTTGGGGCCAAAGGTCAAGTTTCATTGCCCAGTAGTCAAGGGGATTGTCTACCTCAGTTGGCAGGGCGCTGTCCAAGTAGGCCTAAGCCTGTTGTTTGAGGTCCTGCTCCAGGTCCACCTGATGCTGCTGCTGCGGCTGGTTAGTAGTTTCCTCACTGCGCTGGTGAAGAAAGCTACTCATCATCGACTGCAGACTGAGGCAGCCGCTGCTGGTGGAGCTGCCACTGCTCCTACCACCCCACCCCTCCCCTGCTGCCATGGCAGCGGAACGCGAGCGCACAGGGCCCACAGTGTCTGAGGATGGACGTTGGCGCAGAAAGGCAGAGACCAGCTGACTACATAGGTGGTTTTTATAGTACGTTATTTTGGCCTCCCTCTCAGCAGGTGTGAAAAAGGCCACCATTTTTGAACGGTAGCGAGGGTCCAACAAGGTGGACAGCCAAAAGTCATCCCTCTGTCTGATGGTTATTATTCGGCTGTCGCTACGCAAGCAAGCGAGCATGCTATGGGCCATTTGTGCCAAGGAATGCGAGGGACTCCCTGCCTCCATCTCCACAGCATACTGCCACGGTGCGTCTGGGTCCTCTGTCTCCTCCTCCTCCTCCTCTACCAGATGCTCCTGCTCCTCCACTCCTGTCCGCTGAGTGGAAAAACCACCCATTTCACTCAATAATTCCTGAGCACCAATGTCCTCCTCTACCTCCTCCTCTTCTTCCTGTCCTGCCCCCACAGGGGTCATGTGGCGTTGAGATCTGTGCGCCACGTCTACCGCACCCTGACCAGCCATTGTTAACAGCATTTGTTCTAGGACGTGCAACAGAGGAATGACGTCGTTCATCCCATAGTCCTGCCGACTCACGAATAGCGTGGCCTCCTCAAAGGGCCTGAGCAAGCGCAGGTGTCACGCATGAGCTGACAATGGCTGACATCTAAGTTACACAGGGAGTACCTTTATCCGCTTGTAACATCAGGAAATCTGTGATGGCCTTTCTCTGTTCGTAAAGGCGGTCTAACATATGTAGGGTTGAATTTCACCTTGTTGCAACGTTACAGCATGAGGAGTCGGTACGGGGGCCCATGGCAGATTACGGGCCTGGCAGCAGCAATGGGAGGCCCGTAATCTGCCAGCACCCTATGAAAAAAAATGTAACACACCAGCAGTGTGAGGAGATCTGAAAGTGGCACATGGCAGAGTGTGGCGATGGAGACAGCAGCAATGGGAGGCCGTACAGGGACCCATGAGAGACTGTGGACCTGGCAGCAGCATGAGGAGGCGGTACTGGGGCCCATGGCAGATTACGGGCCTGGCAGCAGCAATGGGAGGCCCGTAATCTGCCAGCACCCTATGACAAAAAATGGAACACACAGCAGTGTGAGGAGACCTGAAAGTGGCACATGGCAGAGTGTGGCGATGGAGAGAGCAGCAATGGGAGGCCGTACAGGGACCCATGAGAGACTCTGGACCTGGCAGCAGCATGAGGAGGCGGTATAGGGGCCCATGGCAGATTAGGGGCCTGGCAGCAGCTATGGGAGGCCCGTAATCTGCCAGCACCCTATGACAAAAAATGGAACACACCAGCAGTGTGAGGAGACCTGAAAGTGGCACATGGCAGAGTGTGGCGATGGAGACAGCAGCAATGGGAGGCCTTACAGGGACCCATGAGAGACTCTGGACCTGGCAGCAGCATGAGGAGGTGGTATAGGGGCCCATGGCAGATTAGGGGCCTGGCAGCAGCTATGGGAGGCCCGTAATCTGCCAGCACCCTATGACAAAAAATGGAACACACCAGCAGTGTGAGGAGACCTGAAAGTGGCACATGGCAGAGTGTGGCGATGGAGACAGCAGCAATGGGAGGCCGTACAGGGACCCATGAGAGACTCTGGACCTGGCAGCAGCATGAGGAGGTGGTATAGGGGCCCATGGCAGATTAGGGGCCTGGCAGCAGCTATGGGAGGCCCGTAATCTGCCAGCACCCTATGACAAAAAATGGAACACACCAGCAGTGTGAGGAGACCTGAAAGTGGCACATGGCAGAGTGTGGCGATGGAGACAGCAGCAATGGGAGGCCGTACAGGGACCCATGAGAGACTCTGGACCTGGCAGCAGCATGAGGAGGCGGTATAGGGGCCCATGGCAGATTAGGGGCCTGGCAGCAGCTATGGGAGGCCCGTAATCTGCCAGCACCCTATGACAAAAAATGGAACACACCAGCAGTGTGAGGAGACCTGAAAGTGGCACATGGCAGAGTGTGGCGATGGAGACAGCAGCAATAGAAGGCCGTACAGGGACCCATGAGAGACTCTGGACCTGGCAGCAGCATGAGGAGGCGGAATAGGGGCCCATGGCAGATTAGGGGCCTGGCAGCAGCTATGGGAGGCCCGTAATCTGCCAGCACCCTATGACAAAAAATGGAACACACCAGCAGTGTGAGGAGACCTGAAAGTGGCACATGGCATGAGACACTGTGGACCTGGCAGCAGCATGAGGAGGCGGTACAGGGGCCCATGGCAGATTAGGGGCCTGTCAGCAGCTATGGGAGGCCCGTAATCTGCCAGCACCCTATGACAAAAAATGGAACACAGCAGCAGTGTGAGGAGATCTGAAAGTGGCACATGGCATGAGACACTGTGGACCTGGCAGCAGCATGAGGAGGCGGTACAGGGGCCCATGGCAGATTAGGGGCCTGGCAGCAGCTATGGGAGGCCCGTAATCTGCCAGCACCCTATGACAAAAAATGGAACACACCAGCAGTGTGAGGAGACCTGAAAGTGGCACATGGCAGAGTGTGGCGATGGATTATGCAGCAATGGGAGGCCGTACAGGGACCCATGAGAGACTCTGGACCTGGCAGCAGCATGAGGAGGCGGTATAGGGGCCCATGGCAGATTAGGGGCCTGGCAGCAGCTATGGGAGGCCCGTAATCTGCCAGCACCCTATGACAAAAAGTGGAACACACCAGCAGTGTGAGGAGACCTGAAAGTGGCACATGGCAGAGTGTGGCGATGGAGACAGCAGCAATGGGAGGCCGTACAGGGACCCATGAGAGACTGTGGACCTGGCAGCAGCATGAGGAGGCGGTACTGGGGCCCATGGCAGATTAGGGGCCTGGCAGCAGCAATGGGAGGCCCGTAATCTGCCAGCACCCTATGACAAAAAATGGAACACAGCAGCAGTGTGAGGAGATCTGAAAGTGGCACATGGCATGAGACACTGTGGACCTGGCAGCAGCATGAGGAGGCGGTACAGGGGCCCATGGCAGATTAGGGGCCTGGCAGCAGCTATGGGAGGCCCGTAATCTGCCAGCACCCCTATGACAAAAAATGGAACACACCAGCAGTGTGTGAGGAGACCTGAAAGTGGCACATGGCAGAGTGTGGCGATGGATTCTGCAGCAATGGGAGGCCGTACAGGGACCCATGAGAGACTCTGGACCTGGCAGCAGCATGAGGAGGCGGTATAGGGGCCCATGGCAGATTAGGGGCCTGGCAGCAGCTATGGGAGGCCCGTAATCTGCCAGCACCCTATGACAAAAAAGTGGAACACACCAGCAGTGTGAGGAGACCTGAAAGTGGCACATGGCAGAGTGTGGCGATGGAGACAGCAGCAATGGGAGGCCGTACAGGGACCCATGAGAGACTCTGGACCTGGCAGCAGCATGAGGAGGCGGTATAGGGGCCCATGGCAGATTAGGGGCCTGGCAGCAGCTATGGGAGGCCCGTAATCTGCCAGCACCCTATGACAAAAAATGGAACACACCAGCAGTGTGAGGAGACCTGAAAGTGGCACATGTTTGGGGCATGATTCATGGCGGATTTAGTCAGTTGTGTCAGGAACTGGTGGTTTGAAATCCAGACTAATCCGCGCCTGATTCATTTTCACAAACGTGAGTCTCTCCACACTTTGGGTGGACAGTCGTGTCCTCCGCGGAGTTACAATACCTCCTGCCGCACTAAACACGCGCGCTCCGATGCCACGCTACTGGCCGGGCATGACAGCCTTTCAAGGGCAAATTCAGCTAGTTGGGGCCAAAGGTCAAGTTTCGTTGCCCAGTAGTCAAGGGGATTGTCTACCTCGGTTGGCAGGGTGCTGTCCAAGTAGGCCCAAGCCTGTTGTTTGAGGTCCTGCTCCAGGTCCACCTGATGCTGCTGCTGCTGCTGCGGCTGGTTAGTAGTTTCCTCACTGCGCTGGTGAAGAAAGCTACTCATCATCGACTGCAGACTGAGGCAGCAGCTGCTGGTGGAGCTGCCACTGCTCCTACCACCCCACCCCTCCCCTGCTGCCATGGCAGCGGAACGCGAGCGCTCAGGGCCCACAGTGTCTGAGGATGGACGTTGGCGCAGAAAGGCAGAGACCAACTGACTACATAGGTGGTTTTTATAGTACGTTATTTTGGCCTCCCTCTCAGCAGGTGTGAAAAAGGCCACCATTTTTGAACGGCAGCGAGGGTCCAACAAGGTGGACAGCCAAAAGTCATCCCTCTGTCTGATGGTTATTATTCGGCTGTCGCTACGCAAGCAAGCGAGCATGCTATGGGCCATTTGTGCCAAGGAATGCGAGGGACTCCCTGCCTCCATCTCCACAGCATACTGCCATGGTGCGTCTGGGT